CATTAAAATGTTTTGGTTCACTAAAAAGTACACAGTTTGCATTTTACTGACTACCTAGAGTTCTTGATTTCTAACTTACTGTTCTTTAGAACTAATTAGTATTTTTACTTATTAAATTATTACTTATTTACTTTAATATTTTCTACATAAAAAAAATTTTCTTTAAGCATTTAACACAGTTGCGTGAAACTTAGGATATGATAATATATTTACTCACAAGGAGTTATAAAAAAGCAAATTTTGACATTGAAAAATGAACCCAAGAGACCTAGTTATTTCAAATAAGTTAACTTTATCTGTTTAATATATTATATAAAAGCCTTTCCAGTGGGCACAGACGTAAAAAAGACGTTTAAAACGTCTCGTACACGTCTGTTTAGGTCCGGTGCCAATTGGGTTTCGGAAAAAAAAATTAAATTATTTACATAATTATGAAAAATTTATACAATTGTTGAAATATATAACCAATTATAATAATTACCTATTAGCTGCGGTGAACCGTACGATACGGGTCGTGGTAATTCTATTCCACATCCGGCTACTTCCAAACTTGTTCTTAGTTAGGTCTCTATTTCTTAAGTAACCAAAATATTTTGATTAACAATTGACTTAATATATTTTAAAAACTGTACTTATTTACTTAATGTATTCCAATATTTTATACATAAAAGTATCTTTAACATAATAGAGACAGCTGCGTAAAATTTCTTCATGTGTTTTTGAAAACTTAAACTAAAATCAAGACTTTACCCTCTCATTAAGATTTATTTAAAAAACATATTTGGACATTTAGAAAACGGGCTAAAAAAAAACTTGTTATTTTAAATAAGTTAGCTTTATTTGCTTGATACTTTTAATAAGAACATTGCTGTAACAAACAAAACTGTTAACAAATTCATTCAATTAAGCTGTTTTTACATCCGAAGTTATTAAACATGTTGTTTGTGCTAATCGATACTTAATGCAAATGGAAACTTTGAGTAAAAAATACAATTTTAAGTACAAATGGTTTCTATTCATATAGCCAGCAAACATCAAACAGGCGGACCGATGACGGACCCCTGTCTAAGGCCACGCGGTTTAGGTTTTTTTCGGTTCGGTTTTTTTCGATGCGGTTTTAAAAATTAAACTAACAATTCGGTTTTTTTCGGTTCGGTTTAAATTTATTTTTGATCGGTTCGGTTCGGTTTCGGTTAAAAAAAAACAAAGTTTTAGAGGTCATTTATTAAATAAATTTAGACTTACAGATTTTTACCAAAAAAAACTAAAAATTAATTTTTATTTTCTTAATATTTTCTTTTATATAAACCATTTTTTCAACATTCTCAACCGCCAACGTAGTTCTTCTGGCAGTGACAACGTTACCAGCACTAGAAAAAACCCTCTCTGAAGTTGCAGAAGTTGCTGGTATACAAAGATATTTTCGTGCATAGTTTGATAAAATTGGGTACTGCAACTTCATAGTTTTCCACCACTCTAAAATATCTGTCGTTTCTTCAGCTGTTTCGGCTGCTAAATAATGATCAATTTCTAAACCCAATTTAGTCATCGTTGAAGCACTGCGTGCTAAAATATCTTGTTTCAGTCTTTTTCTACGCAGTTCATGGTGATTAACTTTAACATTTTCATTACTTTCATTGTCTGTTTTGCTGCTACTCATTGAAGCTTTTTCATGTTTTTTCTCTTTTTCCTGAGTCAATATTGCTTCTTTTATTTCATCACATTTTTTATATTCAATCAAATGCAGGCCTTTGTAACGTGGATCTAAAAAATTTGCAAAACAATTAATCAACTGCTCAGCACCGTTAAGAGGATATCGTTACTGAAGTTCACAAATCAGCATTTTTATAAATGTTCTTGTTGGCTTATGTTTGTGATGTTGATGGGAAAGAAGCTCTTGGTGCAAGGAATATAATTCAGGTATCACATCTTGGATTGTTGGTCTTTTATCAGCTGATAAAGTTACTGAAATGTTGTATATTTTTTCAAGAAATGGAATGCTGTATTCTAATGTCTTCCATTGATCATCTGAGGGACATGACCTTTCAAACTCATCATTGGTTTTTGCAAGTGTTTTGATTGCATCTTTGACTTCAAGGACTGACTTAATGCACATGTAATCAGAATTCCATCGAGTTGTACATGGAACAATCAATTTCCTGGGCTTAATTCCAAGTTCTTCACAAGCATCTTGAAGCTTGGTCGTAGAGAGAGCACTTCTATGTGTGTGTGATGCTAAATCTGTACAGTTTTTTATTGCTTTAGAAAGTTCAATTGAATTTTTGATTGCTTTTAAAATAACTAGCTGGATTGTGTGATCATTGCAGCGCAATTCAGAATTAATTTCATCACTTTCTTTAGCAGCTAAAACAATGTTGCTCCCATTGTCATTAACGCAGGCTCGATGGACTTCTTCATTTAAGTTTAAATTAGCAATAAAAGCGTCCAGGTTTACTGCAATTGCAACCCCAGTGTGTCTACCAGTAAATGGTGTGCAAGCAATGAGAAAACTTACTAAACTAAACTCTGAACTAATGTAGTGAATTGTAAGACTCATGTAAGAATCATTGTTCCGACTTGTCCAGAGATCTGTTGTAAAACTAACTCCAGTTACTTCTCGAAAGTCTTTGAGAAATTTTATTTGCAAACCCTCCTTTACCTTTTCATACAACATAGGAAGCTTTTGACGTCTAAATGTTGATGCAGATTTGACAGTAAACTTGCTATTTACTTCATCAATAAACTCTTGTGCTCCTTCATTGTCTAAAATTTCAAAAAGTAGACCAAGATTGCAAATAAATTTTGTTAAATCTAGGTCAAACTTTAATTGCTTTGGATCATTTAACCCATATTTTTGGTTTTTTATAATGCAACTTTCAATTGTAGTTGTTTTTGTCTCCTTTTCTTTAAATTTTTGTTTATTAAGTATCTCTGTAGTTTTCAAAAGATGTTCTTTCCAAGATGCTTCATGTTTAGTTTTGACGTGGCTGGTTATTGTTGAAGTACTGCCACAGTTGATTTTGTAAGATTTAAAGCAAATTTTACATTTGGCTTCAAATTTACTTGACTTTTCAAAAAATTTCCAAATATCACTTTCTTTCGGCATCTTTAATGCAAATAAAATAAAAATGATTAGTAAGACAACCAAACCGTATAATAAACATAAACATAGTTCAATATAAATAAGTTTAACTAATAATTTTTCAAAATCCTTAAAATGTATTTTAATTATTTTTTAGAACATTATTAGTTACAATGCAAATATTAAACTATTTTACGCCTTGCATGCTCCTAAAGACATTAATAATATTTAAACAACAAATTATTTTGATTATATCAGTTTTATTATTTATACAATGAAAACAGTTTAGAAAACGAGGTTTCCAAAATAATAATTTTATAAGATAAATATTATAAACAATATCAGAAATTTAAATAAGATTAAAAAAATACATCTTTTTAGAAAAAGCTTATACTACACGATATTGATATCCAACCCTTAAAAAATCTTACTCCATCATGGTCCGCAACATTTGTTCTAATTTCACGGCAAGCTATTTTATTATGTTTATTTTTCATTGTTCCCTTTTTAACTTTGTTTTTCTGCGGTTTGAAATTTCTTAAATTAAATAACAATTATATTTTATTTAAAAATTTGATGTCAAATAATGTTTTTGAAATTTTAAAATTTTAAATTGGTTTTTAAAAGTTTTTTCAGTTACGGTTCGGTTTTTATTTTGATTTAAATAATTAGATCGGTTCGGTTCGATTCGGTTTTTTTGTTTCGGTTTTCACCGAAAGAACGGTTCGGTTCGGTTAACCGCACGGCCTAACCCCTGTCAGCACTTATGCCATGCCGACGTCGGCCGTCCGTTGCGTTGCCGCGTTGACTTGCACATCGTATTTACATCGGTCCGTTAGCGGAAAACTGAAGGCGGTTCGACAGCGGACCTATGGCGGCAAATCGACAACGTTTGAACAACGGTCCGTTAGCGGATAAAGCCAGAGCGGAATAGCGTAGGATCTATAATAAGTTTTGACTAAGGTTTGAAAGCATTGATATAAATATAATTATTTTTATTTTTTTGTTTGAATAGAACGCACTTATTGTTAGCAAAAATTTTTATATCAAATTTTTAACTTAAATTTTTAGTCATAAAAAAATGCAAATCCTGCCAAAGCCTGGAAGACACATCAAATATCTTTTGACTTGGTATATAGACAAAATACGAATTTATTATACCAAAATTCTCCTACCACCGAAAAACACTACCCCAACAGTAAACTATTAGGTCATACGTGGCAAGGCTTAACCTTGGTGAACAAAAAGACTAATCAGAAGTTATAATAAAAATCATTTTAAGATTGCAATTTACAATTACAACATGAATATAAAAGTAACAATAATTGTTAAAGCAATCCTTCAAAATAATGGCTTGTAAAATAAAAATTTTGTTAGATTTTTATTCATCTGCTTCACTGGTTAAATACCAAGTTGATTTAGCTTTCCATCAATAACTTTATATTTTAAAGCTTATAGTTATATTTAAATTTAATATAATAAAACAAATCAAACAGTATACAGACTCCAGAACTTATATATTGGATCTTTTTCGAAAATAACATTAAAATAATATCAAAATAATAAAATTAAATAAACATCAAAATAATAAAATTAATCTTACTTTATTTTCTGGTAAGATTCAATATCACGATTTAAATTTTCATCTACAATCTCATATACAAAAGGTTACTGTAAAAGGGAATGAATATGAAAAACACAGAAACAGTAATACTCATTGCACAAAAACTTTACTCTATTGAGTTTAAAAATTAAAATATTTAAAAATATATAAAATAGTTTTGAATAAAATCAAGATAACAAATTTGTATATAAAGATGCTTATTTTATTTAACAATGTTATTCATTTTCTGAACTAAAAAATGCCTCTTTATTTAATGGCATTGGAAAACTTGATGTAGGCATCACTTTTTTCTTAGCTTGTTTTTTTTTTTGGTTTTGTCAAACTTTTTTTCCGCCATTGCGGTCTGATGCACCACGCAAAAAACGCACAACCTCATATTGAAAATCTGATTCAGTTGCTGAAGTTGTTGCAGGATTTCTTTTTACAGCTCCTAAAAATTAATTTAAGACTTTTATTTAACTATCTAGCAGGAAAACAAAAAATATATTTTTTAACTTACTTTTAGAAATATATAGAATTTTTTTTAAAGCTGTTTATTAACAAATTTTATTTATTTATTTATTAATTTTTTATTTTTATATAGTTAATAAATAAATTTTATTTATTTATCAATTATTTATTAACAAATAGATTAGTAATTACTAAATTAGACACAAGTAATTATTAAATTAGAGTAACAAGCCCCTACAAAAAAAATTACTTTTAAGCAAGTGTAAGTCTTTGTTTTACAAAGTTACTTTCATTGTCATTTATAGTAATACAAGACCAGTTAAGTTTACAGCAGAGGTTGTTAGTGAATAACGCAAAAGACATTCTCTGGACAGCCTCTGGCCTCCTTTACTTGCCACAGCTATTATCTACAAAAAAAATAAATAGAAAAAGCATCAGTAATATATATAATAAAGAATATTCTTTAAAAAATTAAAAAAAAATAGATATCAAATTAATGCCATTAATTATTGCATAACATTTATTAATAGGCTTTATTTTATTTATTGTCCTTTACTTCCATTTATAAATGATCTAGCTGGTGTACCACAAATAAAAGCTGATATAGCAAACTTATATACTTTACCATTAATACTAATACTAGATTCAAATAAAGCAATACTTTCATTAACAAACATTTTTAGAAATTCATTGTGGTCTTTTGGTTTAGACCTACTATAAAAAAGACCGATTTTAAATGGGGTTTTATTGTGTTGAATATTGTTTATCCACATTTTTTAAACCTAATATTGGTCAAAATTGTCCAATGCTGCTTTTAAACAACGGTAAATCATCAATGTTGACTTGAATTGGTATACAATCCTTTTTCTTTAAAAAACTTAATTTATTACTTAAAATACCTTGTCTAATGCCAACATTTAATATCAATATATTACTGTCAGAGTTCATTTCACAATCAATATTATTTGCACCTGAGGGAATAACACTCTCAGTTGAAAGTTTTCGATCTGATATACTTTTTAAATACAATGATTGTATTTCTTCTGGTGAATGTGAAATATTGCTTGATTTAATGGTTAGATCTTTTAGGCAATATTTAACATCAGCTATTATCTTTCGTCGTTTTGTCCAAAAGCTCACTATTGAAACTTACATAAATTGTTTTATTTACTAAAGCTGGTACATATTTAAAAATGTATATATTATATATATATGTGTGTGTGTGTGTGTGTGTGTGTGTGTGTGTGTGTGTGTGTGTGTGTGTGTGTGTGTGTGTGTGTGTGTGTGTGTGTATATATATATATATATATATATATATATATATATATAACTTCATGTTAGTATAACATTGTTCTTGTTATATTAAAAGTTATATGACTAGTCATGTAACTTTTAATATAAAAAGAACAATGTTATACTAATACATTTATAAAATTGTTACATAACTGAAACATTATTGTTAAAGTTATATGTTTAAAATAAAATCTAATTAGTATTTTTAATTTTGAGTCTTATAAATATATATTGAACCTTTATTTATAATTTATATCTATACTTTATATCTATACTAAGTTTAGATATAGATATAATATATAGTAATCAATATTAAGTATAGATATGGAAATAATATATAAGTATAGATATAGATATAAATATAAATTATAAATATAGATATAAATATAATATATTATAATATAATATATAGTAAAGTATACTTTATATTATATTATAATATATTATGTTTAAATCTATATTTATAACTTATAACTTTTATAACTATAAATATATACTTAACTTTTATAACTATAATTATAACTTATAAATATAGATAAAGGTATAAAATCATGTAACTTTTAATATTTATAAGCAATAGTTATAGCTATATTTTATAATATAAAGTATAGATGTAGATTTAATTTATATAACCTATATTGTAAGACTTAAAAATAAAAAGACTAATTTTATTTTTTTTAATACTATTTATTTATTACTTAATGTTTTATAAAGACTATGTACTACAGTACAAAATATAAAAATCGATCAATGTAAGTCTAATGGCGCTTGAAATGCTTACTTTTGGTGTTTTTACGACATCTTACCGTTATCCGGGAGCCAACTCGAGCATTATGTTGGCAAAACTAAAGCGTATCGTCATAAACTTACCGAAGCTGGCATGCCTATTTAAAATTGCGGTGTTTTATCGCTCTTCGGCCGATGGCGGAAAGCCAACACAAAATAGCATACCGGTCCTACATCAGCTACCCGGCTGCGGTAAGCCGCATTAGCAATCACAAAGGGCCAGCACCGGCATTCCGGCGGCGGCTTTGCGCAACGCGGTCCGCTGAAAGCATGTTTGCTGGGTATATAGTAAAAAGCAACAAAAATAAAAACAATGTAAAAATGATTAATATATCCATTTGAAACAATAAATCCAAAAATAAAAAAATATAGATATTTACTTAAGAAAAAATCAACATATTTTTTCGAGAAAATAAAAAAATAAACTTTAAAAAAAATTACAAAAAAAAAAAATTATATTTAACAAAAAGTAACAATAATACTTAAAAAGCAATTTAAATTGAAACATTGTTTCATTATTATTAGGCTTTAGGTAAGCCATAATCAAGTCAGCCATAAGAAAAGGAACTCGACCTAAAAATGGAACAAAATTATTTTAAATATAATGCACCTTAATTACAAACTAACATGTCATGCAATCAAATAATTTTTTTAAAAACTCAAAAATGCGAATAAGTGGATAAGAAACTTACTTTTTATTTTTCCATAACCCTGACAGATCAACATGAATATGAGCTAAACATATTACCATAAAACATTACAACAGTTAATTAAATAGCAGAACATGTTAAAGGAAACTCTAGATAACACACATCTTTTAAGGACAAAGAAATTAATTTAGTTTAAAGAAAATTAGAGTTATTCGGAGTGTAATATATAAAAAAAAACTTAAATGGAGTTTCAAAACTAGTTTATATTGTTTAGGTTTGAGTTGACCTGAGTTTATTGAACATATTTAAACTACTAACTGCACACATTTATAAAAACATACATAAACATTTAAAAAACATAAATTTTTTACTTTATATAACACATATATTAACATATAGGAAATAACACATTATAAGAAATTACCACATCATGGTACATATTAACACTTATCAAAAACCATTACAAACATCACATTTTAAAAGCGAAATATTATTTGTGTAGTATACATTCAATGACATACCTTGTAGTACATATTAATCAAATTTATTCAATAAATTAAAAAGTGTCTTGGTTCTGGAACATGCTACATAGAATTTGGTTGTGTGAAAACCAAGTCCATTTGAGATCAGAATTAACTTTATTAAATCTTTGATTGTAACTTTTATTTCTTGTCCATGAGTGTTGTTAATAAAAGTGACTTTATTTAAATGATTTAATTAGTTTAATGGCATTAAAAATAATGGGAAAAATTAACACAAAAACTATGTAACAAAAATATTTAAAAAATAGATAAAAAAAATTACAGAAAAAAAAAAACAACAGTGGCACAACAGTTGTAAATCTGAAATGTGAAGAAATTATTTAGAACTGTTAGCATGTTGTGGTGAATGTAATCCTTGATTATAAAATCTTTAAAAGGATTCCAAAGATTTAAAGGATAATCAGGTAAATAATCAAGAAAACCCATTGGCTCTTGCATTTAAAAACATGACAGAAATATGGTAGAGGTAGAGGTATGAAAAAATGGTAGAAGATGAAGAAATCATGGTAGAGGATGAAGAAATCCGCCGAGCAGTTTTAAAAGGTAGGCCAACTTCTGTTGTAAGAATGTCTTTGCTTGAAGGTCATGATAGACGTTGATACAATCTTCCTCCCCATGAGGAGGTCGCTATTGTGTTTGTGGGAGATAATGGTGCTTCACCTGCACCCAGGAAAGTTGTTATATACCCTCAAGGTCAGCCTTTAAAAATAATTTTGTCTATATCTTAAAATTTAAATCCTATGGTGTATTCAATATTTTTCCCGAGAGGTGATGCTGGATAGAACAATCAACTGGAGCACAACCCTGACCGCGTAACCCATGTTAGAAACCATGTTACTTTGTCTCAGTATTATAAATATAGGCTTGCGGTTAGACAAACTTTTAATCCTATATTCTATAGTAAGAAAATTTTTCAGTAATATGTTGTTGATGCACATGTCATATGTCAATATATATATATATATATATATATATATATATATATATATATATATATATATATATATATATAGCACACTATAGCAATTTACACCACTTGGTTAGCAAAATCAACCCTAATGCTGTAAACTAAGCCAAATCACAACAATTTGAAAAGATATTTACAAACACATAAATGATATTTGCACACTTACAAAATAGACCCATATGACCTAAACATATAAACACAAATAACACATAAATATAAATTAATCTATATAAATTTATATAAATCAAGAAAATTATATATATTAGAAACTTTAGAAATACAACCTTATTTTTGTTTAATGACATAACTCGTATAAAAAATGTTTAACAATTTGGAAAAACAAACGATCTGGTTTTTATATAAAAGCAAACAGATTTTTTTAACTTCTTTAAAGGAAAGGTATTTAACGTTGTTCTTTTTTGTTCTTTAACATGAAACTGTATGAGATGTAAGTGTTTAGGATATATTATATATATATATATATATATATATATATATATATATATATATATACATATATATATATATATATATATATATATATATATATATATATATATATATATATATATATATATATATATATATATATATATATATATATATATAAAAATATATATATATATATATATATATATATATAAATATATAAGATTTAAAGGATAACATCTTGTCTGAGAGTATATTTATATATTGTTTTAAAACATCAAAAATACGATTTCTCTTAACACTTATATTTTTTTTATTATTATAGAAATTTTCGCTGGATTTTAGATACCAACTTCTTCAGCTTGTTAAATGTTAACAAGCTGAAGAAGCTGGTATCTAAAATCCAGCGAAAATTTCTATAATAATAAAAAAATTATAAGTGTTGAGAGAAATCGTATTTTTGATGTTTTAAAATAATATATATATATATATATATATATATATATATATATATATATATATATATATATATATATATATATATATATATATATATATATATATATATATATATATATATATATATATATATATATATGTATTATATATATATATATATATATATATATATATATATATATATATATATATATATATATATATATATATATATATATATATATATGTATATATATATATATATATATATATATATATATATATATATATATATATATATATATATATATATATATATATATATAACACTAACTTTATCAAGAGTTTGACCTCTTGAAAAGAGGATCTTTTTTTAGAATCACCATTGTCTATTAACTTAAAAATTAAATTGTTACTAATTATTACTTATTACTAATTAAGTTGATGAAGCAAAGTTTTCGATCTTATTAGTGATTAAATAGATATTACCAGATTCAAGTGTACCTCATCGCGTGTTCAAAAAGAGAAATATCTAAAAGTCCAAGCATCCTCATAAAACTCCGTGTAAAAATGCGCACGGATGGTGAGCAGTAGCAGCGAAGCGTTAATTTATTATTATTTATAGATTTCTTGAGAGCTTTCTCTCCAAATTGTTTATATAGAACTTCTACGACAAGTTTTTATCCAAGACCATACCTGGAAAGTTTATAAAAGTTTCTCTTTTTATATTATTATTATTTCTTTTTAGATCAGGTAAATTACGAGGAATTTTTTTATTCTTAATTAGTTTATGAAATGAATTTGGTCTTTTTGACATTCAAAGAGAGTTTGTTATACCTGAAGCACTCGTTTATTTTATGTAATTCTTTGTTAACTATGTTAAAAAGTGTCCTAATGTCTCTATGCGAATAAACAAATTGGAGCCATCCGCAAACAAGATTAAACTTAATAAGTTTGATGTTAAATATAAACCATTTATATAGAGTAAAAATAAAAGTGGTCCCAAGATCAAGCCTTGAGTAACCCCGCAACTTATGGCACTATTTGCTTTTTTTGTTGTTCATACTGAATATATTGCTTTCTGTTTGATAAATAAACTTTAAACCAAAGTAAGTTATTATTTTTTACATACACTTCGAGTTTTTTAAGAAGAATGTCGTGATTTTAATGTCAAAAGCTTTAGAAAGATCATTAAAACTTCTAACGTGAAGCAGTCATTACTAAAAGAGTTAGATATTTGATTAATTAGCTCAATTACAGCATGGTCAGTTGAGTGGTTTATTTCAAATCCAAATTGTTTACCGTATAAGAAATTGTTTTCCGCCAATTAATGTAAAGCGTATTATACTTGACGCGTTCTAGTAATCTGGAAAAACATGGTTAAACTGATATAGGTCTATAATTATTATTATTAAAATTATCTTCAGATTTAAAAGTAGGGGTGACTTGGGCAATTTTTAGTTTATCTGGGACAATGCCTGATTTCAGTGAAAGATCAAAGATGTGATGCAATGATGGTTCAATGATATCAAATACTGGTTTTACAACAAAGCTACCGATATTATCAAAGAACGCACTTTTGTTGCTTTAAAAATTGAATAAAAACTAAAATTAAAGAAAAAAAATACAGATACTTATTCAGTGTTCCAGTTTAACTCCTTTACAATCAGTTTATCATATGCTAAAACTGCATATTTTCCGGAATTTCTTGCAATCTTCATTTTCTCAGTAAGATCACGTCGTATTTTATTTGTTTCTTCCGAAAAGTCCTCGTTTAAAAGGATTCGTTTTTCTTTTAGCTTCTTTGCATTTTTCAAGATTAGTTCTTTATCTTTATAATTTAACAATTTAACTATAACAGATCTTGGGGTATCCATATTATGACAATGTTTTTCAATTATGTGTGCTCTTTCTATTACTATATTTTTTAACTGAAGCTGTTCATTAAAAATTGTTTAAAGTTTTTATTCAGCATTTGCACAAATTTCTCGTTCATTTTCTCGTGATCCGTAAATTCTTATGTTACTTCTTCTATTTCTGTCTTGAAAATTTCTTATCTTTTTAGCTCGTGACATAAGTTTTTTGCTTCGTCCAAATTTTCTTGTACATAAACGGTTTTATTTAAAACTTTTTTTAGTTTTACTTTTTTTAAGTCTTTATTAAGATATGTAATTTTTTCCTTAATCAAAATATCTTCGGTGCACTTAAAATTGATTATTCTTGTACTTTAAATTTTTATTCCAACATACTTTCAATGTCTTCTTTGTTTGCCATGTTTAATTTAATGAATATTTTAAGAGAAAAAACTATTTATTATTATTCTAAAAGATCATTTGAATTTTTTAATTTTTATTTTGTAAATTTTTTTCTGTTTGTGATATTTTAGATTTTAAATATGCATATCTCAGCTTCAATGAAATATTTTTGAATGAAATTGTTATGGTTTGTTTATCTGTATATAAGACAGTATGTGACCAGAATTTAATTAATTCTTTGAGTATTTTAGGAATTATGGAATAGTCTTTTTTTGAATTTTACCCCTTTTTTAATTTCCCCTAATACGTAGAGCTGCCATTATGGATCTAAACATAGTTATAAGTTTTTACTGGTTTAAATACCAATTTTATGTATATCCTACATGCAAAACCCAACATCATACAAAACGAATGTACAGATAAATAGAATTCTTTGTTCTAAGAAAATGATGATTTAGGCATTTTTTGCTGATTTAGCATTAAAAAACTTTTTTCAGTTGTTTTTATTATTTTTTTTACTACATTCTGGATCATATTTATTCCTGATATTGATCTGAATCCAAATAAATCTGAAGTAATGTAACAATAACATGTTTAAGAAAATCTGTGTTTAGAAAAATGTAAATAAGTGAGAAACTTTATATATTTTACATATTGTATTCAATATACATGTTAAATTTTGAATTTTGTAAAACAGATTTTTCTCAAAAGTTTATTTTATATAAAGTATACATGATAATATGCTAATAGTATTTACAATACTAGCTTTTAACATTCCTTTTTTTTGTTGTTGATGTTTTACCTCATTTTTGTTTTTTTGAAAATTAAAAATTTATTGAATAAAAATTAAAAATAATAATAGTAATAATATAAAACTATTTTAATTTTTGTATCTTTATATTTTTGCATATATTCCATTGTTATGTAACATAAATATGTAATTTAACAACGCAATGTAATTTTTTATTTAAAACATAACTTGTTTTCTTTTTGCCCCAGCCGTGTATTTACACTTTAATCACTAATTTTGTAAACTTTTAAAATACATTATAAAAAGTATAAAATGGTTTTCAGAAAAAAATACATAATTAACTTGATTTACAACTCTTTTTTAGCAAAAAAAAAAAAAAAAAGAAAAAAAAATTAAAATTTAAGAAAAATATACGAAATAATAAGCTTTTGCAAATCTTGAAATTATAAATAATAGCAATATAAAATAAAACCAAATATTTGTAATTAAATATTGGTATTAGAATAATTTTCTTGATTGCATTAAGTATTAAGCTAAAAGTTTATGCCACAATCTTTCCATTTAACTCTTTGAACCCAACTGTTATTTGAAGTGTTTCTAAAATGCAATCCCTCACCATTACCTAAATTTAAAAAAATAATGAAATAATAAGAAAGGCAATATTATATATAGTAGGTAATATTATATATAAAGGTAATAATATATATATATATATATATATATATATATATATATATATATATATATATATATATATAAATATATATATATATATATATATATACATATATATATATATATATATATATATATATATATGTATATATATATATATATACATATATATATATATATATATATATATATATATATATATATATATATATATATATATATATATATATATATATATATATATATATATATATATATATATATATATATATATATATATATATATATATATATATATATATATATATATATATATATATATATATATATATATATGTGTGTGTATGTATGTATGTATGAGGCTAATAATATTCATAAAAATAGTCATACCCATCCATTGGTTTGTTCCAAACGTTACAGATTGATCATTATCTTTTTCAAATTTTTTTAACAGATTCCAATTTAAATTGCTTGAGATCTTTGTTTTAAAATTGTCATCAGTTATAGCTAGCCATTTTTTATATGTATTATGAAACATTAAATAGGTTTTCTGATTCTTATGAATAGCATAAAGCTCTCTCGTTATAGTGTGATGACCAAGAATGCAACCTATGCGCAAATCCAAACCTATAATTTTGATTTAATTTTAACATTACTGTGGAAAAGTTAACATTACTGTGGAATACGTTTTTAAGTTCATATCTAAACTAAAAGTTTTTATAATTAAAAATATATAATAGAGACTATTTATTAAAGTTTTTTAGTTTTATGATTTTGTAAAAACAAAGTATTGACATTATTATTTATTTTACATCGATTTTAATAGAGATGTCATAAGAAGTGATTTTTCCGAAAAATGATTTGTAAATGATTTGTTAGAGGCTCGATAAAAACACTTAATATTCGGTTAATAAATATTCGGCGTCACTTTTTTATTTTGAGTACTCCAATCTGCTTTATTGAAATTCATATGAACGCTACGCTAATGGCGTTTTTGTTTCATTTCTGACTCGGTCATATATCATCTATTATAATATAAAAAGAACAGCTGCACCACAACGTATATACTTAATTTAAATATAAACAAAAGAGTAGTTTTAATAAAACATATAAATTTTAGATAAATATAAAAATGAAAACAAAACGAAAAAAATCATTAAATCGTATAAGTTAAACTTATTATATAACATATATTTGCAGTAAACGGAATTGGTTAAAAACTTAATACTAGAATAATAGCTTTACTATAAGCAAAAAAATCGTTTATGCAAAATTCTGAAGAAAACAAGCGAATAAATTATCCTAGCTAGGACACTTACATTGGATTAACGTATGTAAAACTATCGCGAACGTCGGCTCTTTTTTCCAATTCAAAACCAACGTTGATCGAATGTCATTTGTTTAATGTTAAAAAAATTACCAACGGAACTAAAAATATTTCGCAAATTTACATTGGTCCATTGTATGTAAAAACATCGCAAAAAGTTGATTGTTTTTACGATTTAAACCCAATGTTGATCCAATAAATTTATTTTGACATTATTTCAATGTATACAAATCAACGTTTTTCCAATTTGTTTTAAAAATTCGAAAAAATTTGAGTGTTTTTACGATCTT